CCAAAACCCTCTCCAGGTATACTCCAAGTATACCCAGCCCTAGCTGGGCAGTAATCACATCTAAGAGTCTTCTTACTTTGTCGCCTTTACCATAGACATGTTGCTCCTCCTCCATCATAGAATGATGACTGACTGGTGTCAATCTCCCTCAGTCTCAAGTCAAGCCATGTCCCGTAGCTCGATTGCTAGTGCACTCAGCTCACACACTGGGGTCTGGGGATCAATCCCCTGGTACGGCTGGAAAACATCAGTACGTGTTTCCATAAGACACCTGCTGTACTTGTTTACCCATCAGTGAAATGGGTGCTTGGGTGTTAGTCGACTAGTATGAGTCGCATCCTGGGACAAAATTGACTTAATTGTACATGTATATATGTTTTGCATTTCATTCAAGGACCCACCCAGTACCCTGTTCCTATGAGAGAGAGAGTTTACTCAATCACTTGACACAGTCGGGACAACTGTATGTAGCATGCTTGAGCATGAAAGCCCTGTTGGGTTTTATGCTTTGTATCAGGTCAATCTCATATTTTACATCATGCAGGTACTGTCACCTCATGGGCTAGGTATATTAGACTTCAGTCCATAAATAACTTCAGTCCATGAGATGTTAGCTCCCACTTACTCTCATAGCAGACAGCCTACAAGCAAGAAGTCATTCCTGTCACTCTCCTGCCAGGCAGGAGCCTGGTAGAGCAGCCTGGAACACACTACCTGTACAGAACCCAAATAAACCTAAGGCTTGCCCTGTAATGGGGATTATAGGATCCACTAGATAGAACCCTAGCTGTACTGGAGTAAACACCTTTGTAGCGGGAAATGGCTATTAGTATTAGTAATGGGGAATTCAAATTCGGGTGGGAGATGACAAAAGTTGTGTTGTTAGCAAAGAGAACAGGTCAAAGTTGTTGAGGTGCATTTGGAAGATCACTGATGTATATGAACAAATACAGATGGCCTAGGGCACTGCCCTGAGGGACCTATGTTGACTGGTCTTGTTGGTGAGGTTGTGCCATTGATATAGATATTGATTGCTGTTGGTAAGGTAGGACTTTATATATGCTCAAGTTTGATGTACAGGATGCTATGGTCTACTGTCTTTTATTTGGTCTGAAACCAAACTGGCAGTTTAGTATACTGAGTGATGCTAGAAAAGAGTATAATCTCTCATGGATTAATTTTTCGAAAAATGTGGATAACAATATAAATTAGGTATTGGTCTATATCTATTGGATCTCCATCTTTGTGTACCAGGGTAACCCTTCCTATCTTGAGCACTGTTGGGAAAGTGTTAGTTTCAAGTGATTTGTTGAACAACATAGTACAGGAAGGCCCCGCTTTACGGCGTTTCACTTTACGGCGTTCCGCTAATACGGACATTTCAAATTATGACCAAAACTCACTATACGGCTCCCCCCACCTGACTTTCTAATACGGTCACCGTGCCCCACCCTGTTTGTTTACATTCTCCATGAGCTCAGTAAGCACTAAGTCTCTCCATTTTGTCTGGAAACTCCAAAATTTCAAATGTTTTTAAAAGTTATTTCATATTTTATATATACTCTGATAATTATACTTATGTATACCTGTACCTAAATAAACTTACATACATCAAGTCATTTAAATGTCGTATATTACGTTAATATACACATTTTCATTAATCCATCCATGATATTTTTTTCAAAATTATATAATAAACACGATGCATAACATATAAATAAGATAAATACACCCCACAGTAGAATAAATAAACATAAATGTGAGCTGTGTAGCAGACGACTTCCACAAGTGGTGATAATAACAATACTGAGTCTCATTAAATGTCGTATATTACGTTAATATACACATTTTCATTAATCCATCCATGATATTTTTTTCAAAATTATATAATAAACACGATGCATAACATATAAATAAGATAAATACACCCCACAGTAGAATAAATAAACATAAATGTGAGCTGTGTAGCAGACGACTTCCACAAGTGGTGATAATAACAATACTGAGTCTCATTAAATGTCGTATATTACGTTAATATACACATTTTCATTAATCCATCCATGATATTTTTTTCAAAATTATATAATAAACACGATGCATAACATATAAATAGATAAATACACCCCACAGTAGAATAAATAAACATAAATGTGAGCTGTGTAGCAGACGACTTCCACAAGTGGTGATAATAACAATACTGAGTCTCATTAAATGTCGTATATTACGTTAATATACACATTTTCATTAATCCATCCATGATATTTTTTTCAAAATTATATAATAAACACGATGCATAACATATAAATAAGATAAATACACCCCACAGTAGAATAAATAAACATAAATGTGAGCTGTGTAGCAGACGACTTCCACAAGTGGTGATAATAACAATACTGAGTCTCATTAAATGTCGTATATTACGGTAATATACACATTTTCATTAATCCAGCCATGATATTTTTTTCAAAATTATATAATAAACACTATACATAACATATAAATAAGATAAATACACCCCACAGTAGAATAAATAAACATAAATGTGATCTCTGGTAGCAGACGACTTCCACAAGTGACGCCATAATAACAATAGTCACGGAGTCTCATTAAATGTCGTATATTACGGTAATATACACATTTATTCGTTTTATCTCATTTACTTACTCCTGACCCTACATTAAGACTACAAATATTTTAAGGTAAGTAATGAGTGAACTGTATATACATTTTATCGCTCTGGGATGCTTAAATATCATAGAATAGTATGTGTGGGTGGGGTGGCCTGGTGAAATAGCCTGCCTATTACAATACATACCACACTTGATTTCTTACAATAAATACTACTTGTCTCACCCTAGATTAAGACTATAAATATTTTAAGGTAAGTAATGAGTGCACTATGTGTGTATTGTACCTTTTTATTGTTTTTTGATGCCTGGTTCTATTGCTAACTTAATATATGTTAGTGTAAACTTGTTATCTAGTGTTTGTATGCATTTATAAGTGGAAAAAAAGGGTGTTCCACTTTACGGCGATTTCCGCTTTACGGCGCTAGCCTGGAACCTAACCCGCCGTATAAGTGGGGCCTTCCTAATGGTGAATGAAAGGACGTGAGCTGGTCTTTTGAACAAGGGTGGTGGAACTTGAGCTAAAATTTCTGACTTCTTTTTCAGTGAATTTATATGTAACCTCAGTGGGCTCAGTTGGAGCAAGATAATCACTTGCTTGAGTATTAGTGCTTGGAATTTTATTAGCTAGACTTGATTCTATGGTAGAAATCATTTAACTTATTGGTTGTTTCTATAGGCTGAAGAGGTAGCTCACTGGGTTTGGTTAGGACAGTATCCCTGATTTTGGTTAACTTCAGCAAGCCAAGCATTTGAGTGTGTGTGCTCCAGGTCTTTGTCATATCACCTCTTGTTTCATGGAGCCTGTTAGAAAAATGCAGTTGTTTGAACTTCCTTATAGTTTGGGAAGTACTGATGTATAGTTTTTGGTGTGTTTTTTTAATTATTAAGCCCAATCTATACCGTTTTTCATAATTAGGAGAGAGGGAGATTATTTTCCAGTAAACATGGCCTTAGACAGGGGTTCGTGATGTCACCATGGTTGTTTAATATATTTGTAAATGGGGTTGCAATGAATAATCAGGTGTTTGAAAGAAGTGTGGGATTGAAAGATAAAGAATCTAATACAAAGTGGGAATTGTCATAGTTTCTTTCTGTTGATAACACTGTGCTTTTGGAAGATTCTAAAGAGAAGTAGCAAAGGTTAGACAAATTTGGGAGGGTGTGTAAAAGGAGGAAATTGAACATGAACATAGGAAGGAGTAAAGTGATGAGCAACAGAAAATATTAAGTAATGAAAGATTGGATATTAGAGTGGATGGAGGGTGTATGGAGGAAGTGAATATGTTCAGGTATTTGGGAGTGGACTTGCCAGCAGATGGGGTCTATGAAAGATGAGGTAAACCATAGATCTGATGAGGGAGAAAAAAGGCATTAAGGCATCTGTGGAGACAAGGAACATTATTCATTAAGGCAAAAAGTGGAATGTATGAGAATATAGTGGTGCCAACACTATATTCTCATACTATATTCTATTATATGGTGTGAAGAATGGGTGATGAATGTTGCAGTGAGGAGAACGCTGGAGGCAGTGGAGATGTTGTGTCTGAAGGCAATATGTGGTATGAATATTATGCAGAAAATTCATAGCTAAGAGATTAGGAAGTGCAGAATTACTAAAAGAATTATCCAGAGGGCTGAAGAAGGGTTACTGTGGTGGTTTGGACATTTAGAGAGGGTGGAACAAAATATAAGGGCGTAAGGTAAGGTTGGAGTGGGGACGGGGGGGAAAAGGGTTTGTGTGCGCGAGGGAGGCTTAGACTTCCAGCAAAAGTGTTGAACATGAAAGAGGGAGGAAAAGTGTTTTTTTTTTTGACATTTGTATTTTTTTTTTTTTGTAGTGTGGGGGGTTTCGGGAAATGATTAAAGACTTGAGTCCTGGAGGGGGGGAAGTACAGTTCCTGCCCCCTGGGAGGGGGGGGATATTTACATTTTTGAGCTTGTATCGGCCCCCTTGGGAAAGACAGTGATGGAGTGAGGATGCCCGAGTTTTTTTTTTCAGGTACGTCCCTCGGTGGCAATGGTTGGTGTGCTTTAAAAAAAAAGTCTCATCCATTTAAAATAGTTATTTTTTTTCTTCTTTTTGAAATTTCCCAATTCGTCTCTATGAGAAAAATTTTATGAAAAGATAAATTGTGTTTAATTGGTAAGCAAATTTGTGCTTTTATTTTGAGCGTACTTACTGCCTTGCTAAATACTGATTCATTATCATAAATGTTTTAATAACAAATGACATCCCCATATTGTTAATGTTCTGCCACAATATTGTATAGCTTACTGATTCTGTACATTTTGGAATTAAGTTTTTCTGTGCATAGTATTTCACAGTGAATGTTAAGATAAAATGCTGTTGGGGGACAAGAAAATTACATATTAATTAGATAAAAATTCATTAATATTAAGTAAAAGAGGTAAATACTGTATACCAGTGTACTAAAAACAAGTACTATGATGGAAGACTTTTCACTACTCATGTATACCTACATCATGTTTTAAAGATTAACATAAATGCAAGGTTACTATCAAGTTCCAATGAGGGTTGACTATCATTTGGCATTTACCAGATAAATTCAGGAATTTTTTCATATAAAGCATGAAAGCACAAGAATTAACTTAAAATCTTACAATGCTGAATTAAAGGTACCATCCGACTTACGACTGAGTTTGGTTCCGAGAAACCGGTCGTAAGTTGAAACGGACGTAGCCCGAACTTTACTACTGAATGTCAACATCACATTTTTGTAATGACTTTATTTTATTGTTTTATTTTGGTATTTCATGTTTTACTTTACTTTTTATGCTGTTACTACTGTATATGATACTGTAAGGTTTAGGATAAATACTGTGTACAACACAAACACTTGCTTATTTCCAGAAATTTGGCATAGGAAACAAGTTCTTAAGTCAAATGGTCGTATGTCGAGCAGGTCGTAAGTCGGATGGTAGGTGTATATATAAAAACTAAAAGTAAACAACATATAAATATAAAAAAGTTAAAAGCTTAAATGCAAAAATTGGTATAAGACAAGTGCAATAAATGTCCCTACCTATAAACAAGCAGCAGATTAAAATTTAGCAAATTATAAAATAACAGTTATGATTCTTTATATACTCTGAAGATGTACCTATGTACAGCAGTTGTGCTGAAGTTCAATAATACAACATTAGAGACATATATCATATAATGTGAAAGCTCGAAGTTTGTAATTCTAGAAAGTTGGGTTTCTTCACATACTTAAGTATCAGTGTCAAGATTCCTATGAAAAGATGGTAATTACAGAGAAAAGCAGCACCATACTAACCATGTACAATAATGATGCCTGTTCATATATGTATTACTAAGAAGATTGGGTATAAAGAGGTCAAGCAAAGGAATGTGTCTTAACGATGGCCCTCAGTCAGGACACCCTGCAGATACCATTGATAAAGCTAAAGTAGCCTAAGTCAAGAGCTTGATTTTGGTAAATTTCTTAAAAAAGTTATGGCTATAATCCATTAGCATTTGGTCAAGCCTAAGGTTTTGGCAAACCTTCAGCCTTCAGGATCAACACTACAGTACAGGGTCGTGGAAGCAAGTCTAAAAGTACTTCAACTGCATGAAGTCAATACAGTTACTTTTTCTAATAGTCACTGGATATGACACAAGGATCTATCACTGAGAATCCAATTTAAATGTCAGAATCAGCACAATAGAAGCAAAGAACTTCTCTGACTCAAGAGATTCCAAATTCAACTTTTGGCCAGCAAAAGCCTGGCCTTGATTTTCTGGGATGAAAAATAGGTTCGGCTGACTGGTTATATGCTATGTGAACCAATTAGAAAACTGTACAAACCTTCAAGGAGAAATGGAGAGGATTCTTGTATCTTCCAGAAGGCCTATACTGCATGAATTGCTATTTGTGACTGTGATTTTGAGCAACTTTATTTAACCTTCCTCCTTACAGCCCCAACCTGGCCCTCCAAACAGTAATTATTACTTATTCTGAAACTAAGTCCCACCTATGTGATCATTACTTAGTGAATTAAGAGGAGTTCCAATAGGCAAATGAAGTCTTGTTTGACTAGCAATAAAAAGGTCTGAGTAAACCTGAAAATAAAAATACAGCTGTTGTGCCATTGCATAAATGACCAACAAAAAATCAAACATTCAAAGTTGTTTGTGGGTCATTTGCATGTATTCTGTAATAACACCTGTCCAAAATTTGAAAAAAAAAAATAAAATCCATATTCCTTGAATTGTTTTACCCTCAAAATTGTTAATTAAACATATGCACAAAATGGTTACATACTGTACAAAATAATGCATCTGGTCAAATAACAACAAAGAGAAGGGATCACTGTATTTTAGATCCTGTTAGCAATATAGTTTCTGCCTTTTATTCAAGCAATGCACTTTTGAAAGGGGAGAATTATGACAATCATACAAGTCCTACACATTCCAACACCGTCAATATTTGCTGAACTATCATAGGCTAAGTTCATCTTAAGTGAGTTATTAATGCTTAAAACCAATTGTTCATAAGATAACACAAGCTGCAAGAACAATGAAATGGTTCTCATTCAACATACTTAAAAATGCATTAATTTAAAGATCTCGAGTAAATAATACCCTTGAATACTTTTTAAAATTCTTTAAATATTTATGTTAACAATAAAGTCATCTTGTTTAGATGACTCTTGTGACCCTAAGCTTGTCAGCTTTATATTACATCTGGCACTTCTTGTGACACAAACTCCACTGTTGAGGCACACAAACATCACACATGATAATATTAATTTAGCTTCTGATGTAATGCCAGAAACCAGGTGAAGAGCCAGAGGTATGTCTGTCACCTCTTGAAGCTTACCCTCTGATGATGGCAGAATAATCTGTGAATCTGAAAAAAAAAAAATACATAATAAAGCTAATCCTATCTTATATTAATAAAATCTAGCATCACCATTGGTGAGTAAAGGATTATTACAAAAATACCTTATTTTATTCTCAACAATGTAAACCACACAATACCCAAATTCTGTAAACTCAGCATTGTAATCCTTATAGAGAATAAACTTTGAATTTGAATAATAAAATATTATTATTATAAGATGGTGTGAGTGTAACATGGTGTGGGTGTAAGATGGTGTGAGTTTAAGAAGGTGTGAGTGTAAGTTGGTATGAGTGTAAAATGATGTTAGTGTAAGATGGTGTTAGTGTAAGATGCTGCTAGTTGATGCTCACCACTGGTCTCAATGGTCCACTTGTTTGGGGCATCAGTGTTAAATGAAGAGCCTTCTGGCAGACTGTTGGTTATTCTGAGGATGACTTGAACTTCCCTCCCATGAGGAACCTGAGCAGTCACTTCCTCAACCTTCAAGTCTGGCTTCAAGTCTTGACTTGAACTGTCACCTTCATCTATCAGTTTTATGGCCAGCTGAAAAGATAATGATTTTTTTTCATATTCAAGGGGAAGTGCTAAACCACTAGGGGTTAAATAATGTGTGCGAACAGTAAAAAACTGACTTAAATAAGAATGTATACAGCATTACAGTGTGATGTTGGTGGACATCAGCCAGGTAGCCCCACCACACACTCACCTACTGCTTCACAGAGAAAGACATTTGTCTACCAACATGATTTACATATCTTCCAACATAATCTACATATCTACCATGATCTACACAATCTACCAACATTGCACATCATTTACCAACAAAATCTACACATCTACCAACATGATCTACACATCAACCAACATGATTTATACATCATCCAACATGACGTACATGTGGAAATTTATTGGTAACAAATTACAATACTGGGTTTATATGTAAATAATTTAGGGTTGTGGTAACATTAATGGTAAGAGAGTTGTATTGTTCCCTTACAGCTCACTAACAAATACCTCTATAAAAGAACATGGAAAAGAATTAATAATATCTCTATTTACTACAAGTATATGTACAAGGTATGCAGGCCTAACTGACATCAGTGATATACTACTATATAGAAAGCCCCTTGTTATGCAGAGCATTTCAGGCAAATTAGGTCAGTTTTGTCCCAGGATGCGACCCACACCAGTCCACTAAATCCCAGGTACCCATTTTACTAATGGGTGGACAGACAAACGGTGTAAAGCAACATGCCCAATGTTTCTACCTTCACTGGGAATCAAACCCAGACTCTCACCGTGTGAAGCGATAGCTTTAGCCACCAGACCACGGGGCCTGTAATTGACAGATGTAGGCCTTAAGAATGATTTAGGTAGGCTGAATTGTTAGTAAATAATGTCAAAATTAGTAATGTAGCCTTAGAAATTAATATTATGTTATATTAGGTAATGAGATTAGACATATTGAGGTGGCTAGCATCTCTTTGCACAAGTGAGGAGAAATGGGGGTTCACTAGAGACAGGTGACCCCTTCAGGTATCAGCTCCGATGGTGATAACTCATTAAGAGCTATTGGCTCAGTATCCCATGCTGTGTACAAAACATTCTGCTGGGCACCCAGAGAATAATAAGCAGAGATTTCCTGACATACTGTGATTATTCAGTCTACACCAAGCTCCCGTCGTAAAATTATTTCTCGTTTTCACCACAGTAACAGGCTGGCTGACATTATTTTGGGGAACTCAAGGTAATTTGGTTATGGGTTATGAGCGAGTCATAAGCCCACACTCGGGTAATTGCCAGCCAGGAGTGTTGAGTAAACATCCCTTGAAAATCAGGCCAGAAGCTAGTGTATATAAAATATAGTTAGGGAGACCCCCAATAAATACAGGGACCCTTAGAGTGCATACTGGGATTACTAATTGTTATTAACTGCTTACAGGAACCATTTCCCTTGTGCACGTGGCATCTAGGAGAGAGGTCATTAGAAGTTTATAACCTGGTAGATTCAAGGGATTTCTAGCTAGGGTGGTCTCACTCTACATCAAGTAAGTCTGTTCTAGTTTGTGCATTGAAAAAGGCAGGAGTTTCCTGTGAGCTAATTAACTCTTCTAAAGAAGTGTACAGTGGAACCTCAAAAATCGAACTTAATCCATTCCAGGAGCTAGTTCTAAATTCGAAAAGTCTGAAATTCGAAGCAATATTTCCCATAAGAAATAATGGAAATACAATTAATCCGTTCCAGAAACCCAAAAATATTCACACAAAAAATACATTTTATAGAGATTAATTACAGTTTTACATACAACAAATACTATAGTTTTTAATTATGTATTACCTGGAGTTTACCTGGAGAGAGTTCCGGGGGTCAACGCCCCCGCGGCCCGGTCTGTGACCAGGCCTCCTGGTGGATCAGAGCCTGATCAACCAGGCTGTTGCTGCTGGCTGCACGCAAACCAACGTACGAGCCACAGCCCGGCTGATCAGGAACTGACTTTAGGTGCTTGTCCAGTGCCAGCTTGAAGACTGCCAGGGGTCTGTTGGTAATCCCTCTTATGTGTGCTGGGAGGCAGTTGAACAGTCTCGGGCCCCTGACACTTATTGTATGGTCTCTTAACGTGCTAGTGACACCCTGCTTTTCATTGGGGGATGTTGCATCGTCTGCCAAGTCTTTGCTTTTGTAGTGAGTGATTTTCGTGTGCAAGTTCGGTACTAGTCCCTCTAGGATTTTCCAGGTGTATATAATCATGTATCTCTCCCTCCTGCATTCCAGGGAATACAGGTTTAGGAACCTCAAGCGCTCCCAGTAATTGAGGTGTTTTATCTCCGTTATGCGCAGCCGTGAAAGTTCTCTGTACATTTTCTAGGTCGGCAATTTCACCTGCCTTGAAAGGTGCTGTTAGTGTGCAGCAATATTCCAGCCTAGATAGAACAAGTGACCTGAAGAGTGTCATCATGGGCTTGGCCTCCCTAGTTTTGAAGGTTCTCATTATCCATCCTGTCATTTTTCTAGCAGATGCGATTGATACAATGTTATGGTCCTTGAAGGTGAGATCCTCCGACATGATCACTCCCAGGTCTTTGACGTTGGTGTTTCGCTCTATTTTGTGGCCAGAATTTGTTTTGTACTCTGATGAAGATTTAATTTCCTCATGTTTACCATATCTGAGTAATTGAAATTTCTCATCGTTGAACTTCATATTGTTTTCTGCAGCCCACTGAAAGATTTGGTTGATGTCCGCCTGGAGCCTTGCAGTGTCTGCAATGGAAGACACTGTCATGCAGATTCGGGTGTCATCTGCAAAGGAAGACACGGTGCTGTGGCTGACATCCTTGTCTATGTCGGATATGAGGATGAGGAACAAGATGGGAGCGAGTACTGTGCCTTGTGGAACAGAGCTTTTCACCGTAGCTGCCTCGGACTTTACTCTGTTGACGACTACTCTCTGTGTTCTGTTAGTGAGGAAATTATAGATCCATCGACCGACTTTTCCTGTTATTCCTTTAGCACGCATTTTGTGCGCTATTACGCCATGGTCACACTTGTCGAAGGCTTTTGCAAAGTCTGTATATATTACATCTGCATTCTTTTTGTCTTCTAGTGCATTTAGGACCTTGTCGTAGTGATCCAATAGTTGAGACAGACAGACATTTTTACTTACCTTTATTGAAGATTGGTGATGGCATCTGGAAGATAGGGAGGAGGAGAGAGGGAGTTGGGGTTAGTGTTTGGAAGGAGAATCCCCCTCCATGAGGACTTCAGGTAAAGCCGTCTCTGGGGTTACTTCCCTTCTCTGCCTTTTAATGCCACTAGGACCAGCTTGAGAATCACTGGACCCCTGTCTCACAAAATAACTGTCCACAGTCCTCTGTTTCTGGTGCCTCTTTAACATTTCCCTAAAATGGGACATGGTTCTGTCACTGAACTTGTTGCAAAGATGGCTTGCTTCAGCTTGCTCAGGGTGGTACTTCTGCACAAACATTTGGGCATCATTCCACTTGGCACAAATCTCCTTAATCTTTGAAGAAGGTACCTCATCCACTCCCTATATTAACACCTTTCGCAACATCAGCTTCCTTGATTTGTTTTTTCTTTGACAGGATAGAACCGATGGTTGACTTGTTTTTCCCATACATCCTGGCAAGCTCAACAAGTCTCACACCACTCTCATACTTCTGTATTATTTCCTTCTTCAAATCTATTGTGTTTCTCACTTTCTTTACCACAGGGGTACCACTAGCAAATTTCTTTGGTCCCATGGCAGCTTATTTCACAGTCCCACAAGCACTAAACACAACAGAATAATCGTAAAATGCGTGAACGAGAGCGCAGGTTAGTGTTCACTCAAGCATAAACAAAGCTAGACTGCTCGCGGCGCCTGTGTGGGGATGAGGACAGAGTGGGGGGTAGACAGGTCCTGTACCCGGCGGTCTGAAAATAGGGGCGCGTTCGATAATAGGGACACAGTTTGTCCGAAAAAATGGTCCTCTTTTCGAAACGTTTGATATGTGATACGTTCGATTTTTGAGGTTCCACTGTAATCATAGGGGTACTTGTGAGAACAGGATATAGGAGTCTTGTGTTATCTGTGTCAACAGTGATTACTAGACTGGGCATTTGACAAGTTCCCACACTACACGTCTATTAACATGATCCACGCATCATCTACTAACACAATCTACACATCTGCCAACATGATCAATATCACCCACCAACATGATCTATATATCACCTACCAATATGAATTATACATAATGACTCACAAAACCATAATAACACAATTGCAAACAAATCATGGAATGGGTGGGATTTAAACCATGGCAGGTTGAGTCCTAAAACTCACAGGCCAGTGTGTTAACCACTAGGCCAACTGGCTCTAAAAAGATTCATCCAACTAGGTATATTTCTATACACCATAGGGAGGTTAGTATGGGCCACCACTGTGACCACAAATACAGGTTTTTATAGACGAATCCCACACCAGTGAGGCTGTAATGTACTCTAGTTCAAGCCCCTGCAAAACTGCTGTGATGACTCACGAAATCATAATAACATGATTGCAACCCACTGCATGATTTGATTAACACAATCTTTCAACACCTACCAATATGGTCTAAACATCTATCAGCATGATGTATATCTCTTCCAATATACAGTGGCACCCCAGTTTTCGTCCTTAATCCGTTCCAGAAGGTCGGTCAAAATCCGAAATGGATGAAAACTGAAGTAATATTTCCCATAAGAAATGATGTAAATCCAATTAATACATTCCAGACACACACAAAAAAAAAAAAATACATTAGAGAATAACTATAATTTTATATTAAGAAAATAATGAGAAATAATTATAAAGCACTAATTTTAATGGATAAATGAACATTTAAATCACTATTATATACCTTTATTGAAGACTCTTGTTGGTGTATGGAAGAAGGTGAGGAGGGGGAGAGAGAGGCCTGTTTCTGGCGTCTCTAAGATCTGCCTAAAATGGGACAAGACATTGTCATTGAACATATTGCAGCCTTTATCGGGCAGGACCGAG